AATAGTTCAACTTCTTGCAAATACAAATTCATATCGTATAGAACGGGAACAAAGCACTGACCTGACAGAGTTGTCCTGATTTTATAATCATGTACATTATTGGAGTGGCCTCATACTTGGTCTCCTGGTTTCCACCCTCACCCGTCTTTCATCTATTATCAACAGAGCAACTAGAGCAGCCTGTTAAAATGTAAGTTCTTCATTCTTCTCAATGATCTCCATCTTCACGCATGTTTTTTCATCCTCAGTGGAAGCCAAAGTCCTTTCACGGGCTACTTGTGAGCTGCCACCCCTCTTTGTCTCTAGGGCCTCCCCTTAAGCCACTCTTGCCCTGGGTCATTTTGCTCCAATCACTCTGGACTTCTCACCATTCCTTAAATAGACCAGAAACATTCCTGCCTCAGGGCCTTTCCACTGACATTCTCCTCTGCCTAAATTACTCCTCAGGAGACCTGGGGGCATAGTGGTTAAGTACAGAGCTGCTAATGGAAAGGCTGGCATTTCAAAGTGAACCCATCTGTGGAAGAAAAGACCTGCTAAAGACTTCAGTCTAGGAAACCCTATGTTGTTGTTGTCTCCGACTCACAGCAACCCTACTTACAACGTAATGAAACACTTCCGTCCTGTGTCAGCCTCAGGATCCCTACCATATCTGAGCTCATCGCTGCAGCCACCATGCCAATCCATTGTGTTGTGGGCCTTCCCCTCTTTTGTTGACCCTCTGCTTGACCAAGCATGACATCCATCTCCAAAGAATGATCCCTTATGACAACATGACCAAAGCAGGTGAGATGAAGGCTAGCCATTCTCGCTTCCAAGGAGCATTCCGGCTGCACTTCTTCCAGGACAGATTTGTTAGTTCTTGTAGCAGTCCATGGTATTTTCAGCATTCTTTGCCAGCAACAAAACTCCAAAGCATCAACTCTTCTTCAGTCTTCCTTATTCATTATCCAGCTCTCACATGCATATGAGGCGATTGAAAATATCATGGCTTGTGTCAGGCGCACCTTAGTCCTCAAGGAGACATCTTTGCTCTTCAGCACTTGAAAGAGGTCTCTGGTAACAGATTTGTCCAATGTAATACATCTTTTGATGCCTTGACTCCTGCTTCCATTGGCGTTGATTGTAGAATCAAGTAATATGAGGTCTTTGACAACTTCAGTCTTTTCTCCATTCATCATGATGCTGCTCATTGGTCTAGTTTTGAGGATTTTTGTTTTCTTTATATTGAGACGTAATCCATACCACGGACTGTAGTCTTTAATCTTCATTGGTAAATCCTCCAAGTCATCCTCACTTTCAGCAAGCAAAGTTGTGTTGTCTGTTTGTTAATGATTCTCCCTCCAATCCTGATGCCACATTTTTCTTCATATAGTCCAACTTCTTGGATTATTTACTTAGCATACAGATTAAATAAGTATGGTGAAAGGATACAACCCTAACACACTCCCTTCTTGATTTTAAACCACGCAGTGTTCCCTTCTCCTGTTCAAACGACAGCCTCCTGGTCTACGTACACGTTCCTCATGAGTACAATTAAGTGTTCTGGAATTCCCATTCTTCTCAACGTTATCCATAATTTGTTGTGGAAACCCTATGAGGGCAGTTTTATTCTGTCCTATAGGGTCACTACTATGAATCAAAAGTGATGACACACAACAGATTACTCTTACCTTAAATATCTACCTGACTCATTCCCTTATCTCTAGGTTTCTCTTCTGAGAGATTCTCCCTGGCTGCCTTGTGTAAAATTACAACTCACCCACCTCCCAATAATTCCTCTTTCTTGCTTTATTTTTCTTTGTAGCACCAACTACCAACCTTACATTTACTTATTTGTATGCATTTCTATTGTCTTCCTCACTAGAATATAAGCTCTATGGTGGCATTTTGTTCGCTCATTAGCTACGTGACTTTGTGGGAGAGGGGTACCTCGACATCTAGGAAGTAGAGTTTATTGATCTACCCCCAGCACAGTCCTCCAGTAATGCCAGGCCCATACTAATAAATTAATAAGTAGTTGTTGGTTTGATGACTACATCTAAAAGAACTCTGAAAATTAAGGTCTTTGAAGTATGAAAAAGGAGGAGAAGAAGAAGAAAAGTAGGGAAAGATGTGGACAAAGGAGAAAGAACCATGTCAGAGGTGCCCAGATTACAGCGTTGTGGAAGAAAAGAACGAGGCGGCACGCGGAAATCATGTCGCCTAACAGAAGCCCGGGAAAGCAACAAAAGAGAGCACAAGAAGGAAGAGCTGGTCCCTGCTCACTCAGTATTCCCGAGATGTAACGGTTTTTTACAAGGAGCTGGGGCAGGTCTGTCCTCAGAACTTTGGAAATCACCCTCTCTTTTATGAAGACCAGTTCAACTACTCCCTCAAGGTAGTCATGAACTTGTGAGAGGTCTAAGGGACATACAGTGGCTCCAAGATGCCATTAGCAATTAAGCAAACAATTCTTCATCATCATCCATTGGGAATATGATTTGAATCTATGTTCACTGGCAAGCACTAAGTTAACCACTGTGAGGCACGGCCAAAACCTGCAGTGTTATTACTCCTCAATGTACACACCTCTTTACTACACAACTAATAGATTCCCCAATCTTCTTGCAACGCAAAAAAACTTAAAAAAAAAAAAACCCACCACCATCAAGTCGATTCCAACTCACAGCGACCACCTTCGGGTTTCTGAGGCATAAATCTTTACCGAAGTAAATTTCCCAGTCTTCCTTCCACAGAGTGGCTGGTGGGTTTGAACTGCCAACCTTCTTGCTAGTAGTCAAATCCTTTAGGCAGTATACCACCAGAGCTCCTTGCAATGCACATACTACATACAAACTCACAGTCACCTACTCCCTGGGTTTTCCAGGCAGTATCACTACGGAAGTAGATTGCTCAACCTTCCTTCTGAGGAGTGGCTGGTGGGTTTCAACCTCCAGCTTTCTGGTTAGCAGTCAAATGCCTTAGGCACTATGGTACCAGAGCTCCCCTTACAATGCAAGGACCCTGGAATTCTACTTTGTTTGGATCCCAGCCATAGGAATTTCCAAGGGGCCAGAGGTGGCTTCTTGCCTCTGCAGGGGATATTCCCTGGAGTCTGGGGGAGGGGGGCCCTTTCTCTCCTCGTCCAGCCTCTGCTATGATTGTCACTCTTCCTTCAGGGGAACATTTTCTTCTCTGGTCTCCCAGCCTTGCAAGAACTATTCTGAATGTCAGGTAAGCTTTGCTCTGAAATGGCTGAGGGAAACTGGGTTTCACTTTGCAAACTTCTTGGGATTTTCACTTAGCTAGAAGGAGCCTCTTCATCCCCAGGATTTAAAGTGTGATGGAAACTTAACTCATGAATCAAAACAAGTCTCCAGAGCTAAGAGCTAGCTGTATTTGCATAACAATCCAGCAGAGCCAAACAACAGGGCAAGGTCAGGAGAAATTAATTGTCAAGGTCATGGTTCCCTTGAAGTAGAACTGGAATTTAGAAGTGCTGACTCCTAAAACTGGCTCTGCCCAGGAATCTTTCTCCCTCTCTCTTAAATGAAACCATGGAATAAAATATACTAAACCTAAAGCACTTGACTGCTAACCAGAAGGCAGCGGTTCAAACCCACCAGCCACTCCTTGGAAGGAAGGTTGGACAATCTACTTCCGTGTGTGCAGAAACCACAGGCCTGCCCTTAACCCTTTCCTTTCTTAATTCCAGATCATCCACATCCCGGAGGAAAACGCAAATGACCCATTGCCCAATTCTGACCACGCAAATGAAATAAGTGACTGAATGCAGTGACCTGGGGCCTTTGGTTTTAAGCTAGGGGCCACTGTTGACTGTGTTTAAAGCTCTGAGTTTTGAATCTCTGTACTTTCTTATACAAATCATTGCTTCGAATTGATTTTAATTCTGAGAACCTGCATCCACAGAGAAAGGTAAAGGCTCACATGCCAGAGAGAAAGAAGCCGCGGAAATAAAATGTGTAAATGATTCCTGCTTCCACGCTCTTGGCTCGAACACCCTTAAAGTGACACAGCGAAAGGAAGCTCGTTAGTCAGGCTTCTTTGAACCTGTCTCTGAGAAGCAGTGGATTCCGGGTTCCTCAGGCGCCAGTCCGGATCCAGAATTCTCGGAGGTTCAGGTCGCAGCGCATTTCTCAAACTACGACGTCCAGCCCCGGAAGGGAGAGCACTTTCTAGGGGCGCGGGCTGCGCCGTCCGGGCAGCTTACCATCAGTGGGCGTTTAGCGCAGCCAAGCGACAGGCAGGCGCCAGGGCTCAGCAACAGGGAGGCGGCGGCTGCAGCCGGGAGAACTTCGGCGCTCGGAGCAGAACCACCCTTCGCTGGCCAGTCGCGTCGCTCCTCCGAGGAAGCAAGTGGCGGCGGCGACCGGGCGGAAAGGGAACGGAAGAAAGGAAGAGGGGAAGAGGCAAAGGAAGAAGGGACATGAAGCCAGCACTGCAGGAACCCGCGAGAGGGTGGCCGACGGGGGCGCACGGCGGCTGTGACTGCGTCTAGCTGGTACCCCGGGCGTCAACGCCTCTCCAGCGCGGCTCCCAGGAAATAAGTGGGATTCACTTGGGCAGAAAAGGAAAGGAAAAGAATCCAAGGGAGTGTGCTGCCCCCTAGGTCCCCGCTGACCTCTTGGAACAGCCGGAGTCCGGCCGCCCCGCCGGGCCGGACGCAGTGCCCGAGGCTCCCTGCAGATGGGGCGGGCAGGGAACAGGCGCCCCAGCCGCGGGTGACCCGCGCCGGCCCGCCCGCTCGCCCGCCCAGCTGCGAGCAGGGCCCGGAGGGCGGAGAATGAGAGGCGGAGGGACACGGGACCGGCACTGAGACTGCCTGGGCGCGCGAGGCTCCGACTTGCATGGCCAGGAGGCTCCGCCAGCTCCCGGGAGCGCCTGGCCGCGCCGAGTGAGCCGCGCGCGGGACCTGGGGGCGGAGACCTCAGGCGGCGGCCGCAGAGGGGCGAGCGCGGCGCAGAGGAGGGCGCGCTTCCGTCCTGCGGGTCTCAGTAATGAGGAGACTGAGTTTGTGGTGGCTGCTGAGCAGGGTCTGTCTGCTGCTGCCGCCGCCCTGCGCACTGGTGCTGGCCGGGGTGCCCAGCTCCTCCTCGCACCCGCACCCCTGCCAGATCCTCAAGCGCATCGGGCACGCGGTGAGGGTGGGCGCGGTGCACCTGCAACCCTGGCCC